GGCTTTTCCCCCTCGCTTGGATGAATATTACCCACAAACAGGTGATTAAAACTCTAATTCTTCATATTCATGTGTTCTTTTGAAGTTTTACCACTCAAGTTGGGCTTATTCTTCATCTTCAAGATTAGGTGAGCTTTACCTTTTTTTTAAAGTTAGGGTTTTCCACATATGAGTTTACAATGTTGATTTAGAGTTCCTCCATCTCAGGTTAGTGTTTTGTGATGATTTTAGGTTCTTTTGGGTTTATATTCACGATGAACTAGGGTTTTATTTGATTGGAATTATGTGATTGGATTTATGTTTCCATATCTCGATCTTGCTTCTTTTTTATTTGTTTTTTTAAACTCCTTTTAGTCATATGGGGAAATAATTGATTCATAGCAACCATTTAAAACCCTCTTACTCTTTATTCCTACTTTTTTTCATAGTGACTAACAACAACCACTTTGATTTCTTGAATCATGAAGCAAACACCCACTAACCATTTGATGTTTTCTTGCAGCTTAAGAGACTAATTCAATACCAAGATCTGTATCTGGTGCTGAAACTGGTCAGATTCATCGAAAYAGCAGCTTAAGAGACTAATTCAATACCAAAATCAAATCACATAATTATTATATGATATGTTGATTATACATCATAAATAGCAAAACCCAGTTCCAAAATCAAAATCCCACAACGACAATCGGATACCAATATTTTTGAAAACTAATAACTGGTTTAACCGACCGGCCTGATCGATTAGGTTATAACATGTTGTGAAGTAGGTGTCTATTATAGTTAATTTGTATTGTTTACAAAAATCTGGTTACTTTTACCCATGTTTATTTGGGATGATAGATATGAGAGTGGCACTCTTCAAATTCAATCCTGAAACTTTTGGCTTATATATGCATTCATATGATATTTTGGGAGTTTATTTGTTTAACAAATTTTGTTGATAAATGTATAGTTTATCTATTTGCAGGAACTATTTGTTGTGACAAAAGCAAGTTTGACTTTTTTTCTCAGTACTATACACCTCTGATCACATCTCCGGTATGCATCATGGTATGCATCATGGGTCATTGATGATTATATAGAAAGGTACTTGGATTTTCAAAGCACTTTGTGCTTTATGGTTTGTTGTGGTTTATGCATCCATTAAGGGGTTCACATATTGTAATTTCTTGGATTTTCAAAGCTCTTTGAAATATTTTGTTATCGTTACTATGGTAAGCTTTTGTTTGAGCCAAATGTTGCTTCATACAACAACTATTGGACCATCGCTTTGATGTCTGTTGATATGGCTCTCTGTTCTATTAATTCTTGATCCCAAAAAGCTGGTTATATAACCATTAGGTATCTATGCGTGTGTTGGCAGGACTCATTTTATGAGTACAACTTCGATCATCTTGATAAGTTTTGTTACTCGAACATACTATTTTATTTTTGACATCTGTCGACCATAATCACTTCTGGTGGATTAATTTCTTTTAACCTGCCGTATTCCACCCTCACAGCAAGCATTTGATAGCTAATTTCAATACCAGTAGATAAAGAAACTCCATCAACCAAATATATAGCATTAGTTCTTTATCAAACATCAGTGTGCTATATGGTTTCTTGCATCTGTTTTGTTTTCGATGATGCAGGAATAGATAACTTTGGAGATTCACATTGTGGATAACCAATTAGATCAACATATATATATATATATATATAT